CTGACTTGTTTACTGTAGTGACAAAACCAACACAGTCTCATCCCAAAAAGTCATATAACTGACGTTTTGGGACGTCTTTTGACCATACGTCAATATCCGCCTTTTTAGGGCCCCCTTAAACGTCGGTAGATGAGGTTATGGGATCCTAACTCTACCCCAGACCTAAACCTAACCCGTCACCTAACCGACGTTAAAGGTAAAGCGTCAGTTGTATGACGGCCCGGGATCGCCATCTACCGACGTTTAAGGGGGCCCTAAAAAGGCGAATATTGACGTATGGTCAAAAGACGTCCCAAAACGTCAGTTATATGACGTCTTGGGATGAGACCGGGTTGAAAAAACACATTACTGTAAAATGAAGTTTCAACAGCAAATATTTCTGTGCATGTGAACAATCTGATACATATTTTAGTATTATGGCAAAGCATACTAAAGATAGGAGTGCTTTTCATGATGCCCAACAGTGTGTCGTTGTTTAGGCACAAATCTGGTAATACGAATGAAGTGTGTGCCAGTTCATGCAAAAGTTTGATTTTGATAATGCTTCAGTGCTTCATTTTGCAGGATATATGAGGTATTTTGTGGTTTTGTGAATTGTGTTAAGTATTTTGATAAAACCAGACTAGTTTGCAAAATTGTGTTTAGCAATTGGAAAAAACTGTAACACACACGTGACTTAGTTTGACACGCAGCTGAAGAAGAGTTCAGAGGACACAGCTGGTGTTGGTCCGAGATCAGAGAGTGTGTGTGAGTGTGTGTAGGAGTGTGTTCTGTTGAGGTCTGGTGTTCTTCAGTGGGTCGCCGGTTTGTCCAGTAAACGGTAATAATGCAGTGTGTGTGGATGGATGTGTGATTGACAGGTTCTCAACAGGTGGATGTGATGCATGGTTTTATTTGTTCTTAAATCAGCGGTCAGTCGAATAGACACACACACACATACACGCACGCAGCGAGGTCTGATTTCACATTGTGGCCCTGTCCCCCCGCGGGAGATTATTTACGGGGCCTTTGTGCAACTCTACCCCCCTCAGTGCTGGGATTCCTCGCACGCCGCCGAGAACGCCATTAAACTGGAGTTTGGACGCGTGCGAGACGAATAAAGCTGCCGTCACGCTTCCTCACACTCACAAAACACAGCGATATTGATGATGTCATGGCCTGTTTACTGAGTGCTCAGCGAAACCGTATCATATTCCACCGCAATCACAGCGAGTCTGAGGCGGAGGAAAGCTTCTCTGTGTGTGTCGGACGAGGAGGACAGCTGCGGGATTTAGGGAATGAGAATTCGAGGATTATGGAAGTGGAGGTCAGATGTGAGAATCCGACGTTCAGACTGAATGGAGAGAACATTCGATTAGTATATCTAATGTCACATATCTCATATCTGCTTTTCTCTTCTTCTTTTCCCTCTTTTTTCATTGGAAACACTGATCATATTTTATGCCCCAAAATTATTTTAATGACAGTTATACACTTTTACATAAATCATTTCTAAATCATATTCATTTATTATTCTATAAAAGCATTACTAAAAGACAGACGAATTTTGTCTTTAAGAATCATTTGCTGTAATGATCTGTAGTGTGGAGTGACTTTATGGCATCAGGCATGTGACACAGGCATGCTCACAGCTGATTGGTCCAAGTTCGTTTTGCAACCTCACACCATGAGCATCACCTGACCCGGTCCAGGTTAGCCGTGTAGTGTGAGTTATGGCGACGAACACGCTAAAAGCCAAACCACTTTCATGGTGCCTAAAACCCAAGGTTGGCACAAACTAAACCAGCTTCATGGTACAGGCCTCAGGACAGGGTGAGGTTCAACTAAACCTCACAGATCAACTAAACTAAACCTCGCAGATCAACTAAACCTCACAGATCAACTAAACCTTACAGATCAACTAAAATAAACCTCACAGATCAACTAAACCTCACAGATCAACTAAACTAAACCTCACAGATCAACTAAACCTCACAGATCAACTAAACCTTACAGATCAACTAAACCTCACAGATAAACTAAACTAAACCTCACAGATAAACTAAACTAAACCTCACAGATAAACTAAACTAAACCTCACAGATCAACTAAACTAAACCTCACTGATCAACTAAACTAAACCTCTCAGATCAACTAAACTAAACCTCACAGATCAACTAAACTAAACCTCACAGATAAACTAAACTAAACCTCACAGATCAACTAAACTAAACCTCACAGATCAACTAAACTAAACCTCACAGATCAACTAAACCTCACAGATCAACTAAACCTCACAGGTCAACTAAACCTCACAGATCAACTAAACCTCACAGATCAACTAAACTAAACCTCACAGATCAACTAAACTAAACCTCACAGATCAACTAAACCTCACAGGTCAACTGAACTAAACCTCACAGATCAACTAAACCTCACAGGTCAACTGAACTAAACCTCACAGATCAACTAAACTAAACCTCACAGATCAACTAAACCTCACAGGTCAACTAAACTAAACCTCACAGATCAACTAAACCTCACAGATCAACTAAACCTCACAGATCAACTAAACCTCACAGATCAACTAAACTAAACCTCACAGATCAACTAAACTAAACCTCACAGATCAACTAAACTAAACCTCACAGATCAACTAAACTAAACCTCACAGATCAACTAAACTAAACCTCACAGATCAACTAAACTAAACCTCACAGATCAACTAAACTAAACCTCACAGATAAACTAAACTAAACCTCACAGATCAACTAAACTAAACCTCACAGATCAACTAAACTAAACCTCACAGATCAACTAAACCTCACAGATCAACTAAACCTCACAGGTCAACTAAACCTCACAGATCAACTAAACCTCACAGATCAACTAAACTAAACCTCACAGATCAACTAAACTAAACCTCACAGATCAACTAAACCTCACAGGTCAACTGAACTAAACCTCACAGATCAACTAAACCTCACAGGTCAACTGAACTAAACCTCACAGATCAACTAAACTAAACCTCACAGATCAACTAAACCTCACAGGTCAACTAAACTAAACCTCACAGATCAACTAAACCTCACAGATCAACTAAACCTCACAGATCAACTAAACCTCACAGATCAACTAAACTAAACCTCACAGATCAACTAAACTAAACCTCACAGATCAACTAAACTAAACCTCACAGATCAACTAAACTAAACCTCACAGATCAACTAAACTAAACCTCACAGATCAACTAAACTAAACCTCACAGATCAACTAAACTAAACCTCACAGGTCAACTAAACTACACCTCACAGATCAACTAAACTAAACCTCACAGGTCAACTAAACTAAACCTCACAGATCAACTAAACTAAACCTCACAGGTCAACTAAACTAAACCTCACAGATCAACTAAACTAAACCTCACAGATCAACTAAACTAAACCTCACAGATCAACTAAACTAAACCTCTCAGATCAACTAAACTAAACCTCACAGATCAACTAAACTAAACCTCACAGATCAACTAAACTAAACCTCTCAGATCAACTAAACTAAACCTCACAGATCAACTAAACTAAACCTCACAGATCAACTAAACCTCACAGATCAACTAAACTAAACCTCACAGATCAACTAAACTAAACCTCACAGATCAACTAAACTAAACCTCTCAGATCAACTAAACTAAACCTCACAGATCAACTAAACTAAACCTCACAGATCAACTAAACTAAACCTCACAGATCAACTAAACTAAACCTCACAGATCAACTAAACTAAACCTCTCAGATCAACTAAACTAAACCTCACAGATCAACTAAACTAAACCTCACAGATCAACTAAACTAAACCTCTCAGATCAACTAAACTAAACCTCACAGATCAACTAAACTAAACCTCACAGATCAACTAAACCTCACAGATCAACTAAACTACACCTCACAGATCAACTAAACTAAACCTCACAGATCAACTAAACTAAACCTCACAGATCAACTAAACTAAACCTCACAGATCAACTAAACTACACCTCACAGATCAACTAAACTAAACCTCACAGATCAACTAAACCTCACAGATCAACTAAACTAAACCTCACAGATCAACTAAACTAAACCTCACAGATCAACTAAACCTCACAGATCAACTAAACTAAACCTCACAGATCAACTAAACTAAACCTCACAGATCAACTAAACCTCACAGATCAACTAAACTAAACCTCACAGATCAACTAAACCTCACAGATCAACTAAACTAAACCTCACAGATCAACTAAACTAAACCTCACAGATCAACTAAACCTCACAGATAAACTAAACTAAACCTCACAGATCAACTTAACGCCACAAGAGTTCAGTTTTACTCTCACTGGTCTTTCAAATGTTAGTTCAGATGATCTGGGATGTTTTATTGCGCCGTCGGGGGAATCTGTCATCCGGAGGGCAGTTCGGCTGTCTGGTATTACATTTCCTTGAACAAGCTCACACCGTCAGTCAGACAAACACACACACACACACACACACACACACACACACTCGTCAACGCTCCACTTAGCATGAGCTTCCTCTAGTTTGAACAGACGTGTTGATGGACTGAGTGTGTCACAGTTTGACAAGGAAACCAAGTCGCACCTGGAGACTCGCTCACCCCTGAACAGCAGAATAAATCACACACACACACACACACACACACACACACACACCATGCAGAATAAAGATGGAGGGTTTCCACGATTATGCAATAATCGTCTGAATGTTTGAAAAGGATTTTTTTCCAGGCCTATATAATGTCAAATCTATACATTTGTCTTGTCATGCTCATGTCTAAACGCTTGATCCTGCACGTGATCCTGCATCTCTCCGAATGATTCGTTTATAAATCTGAAACAAAATGAGAGTTTTGCTTTTAATTCTCCAGGAATCATGAATGATTGCAGAGGTGAACAATATCATAAGTAAGTAAGTAATAAGTAGATTCATCGGTCCAGTGATCTGATTGGCTCTCGTGATTTTCAGAGCGATGAGACCAGCCTATCAGAGGGCAGCACCATCGACCTCAGGAAGCCCGGCGAGGAAGAGGACGAATACTCGGAGATGGCCGAAGAAACCATGGATCCGGAAAACTGCTTTCCTGACGGTGCGTAATCTGATGCACACATTCTGTGTTATAGACCACAACAACACCGGTCCAGAAGCACTTCCTGTTTCAGTTTTTTAACACTACATAAAAGCTGGGATAAAATACAACCAACAGAACATTTAAAACTGAATCAAAAAGTTAAACAACATCTTTAAGATGTTTTCTTTACATGTGAAATAAAGAAAACAGTTACAAACTGAAACAGGAAGTGTTTCTGGACCAGACATCTTGTGAAATGGTCTGTACATTTTAAGGCCAGACAAGGGTTGTTTTTTTAGGGAAGGACTACATACCTGCACACATCCCTATAGCGTGAGCTCTTAATATGCATTTGCGCGCCGTAGCGTTTTTAAAGTTTGCATAGAGAGAACTTAAGAGTTTTCTGTTTCACCCAAGCATGCCGCACAAGCCCTGAAAAGTGAAGCCAAAGCGTCTCGATCGCCCCCCGGTGGCTGGTCCTAGTATAGCTCACCAAACCCCGCCTCCACGAGTTATTCAATGACACGTGAGAACAATTAAATTACACTTCAAATATCTTTTTATTATATCAAATATCATTATGAAGCTGATGTAAGTTCAAGTGTCTGTTTAAAAATAAGTTTGTTTTTAGTTAGTTACGTGATGCTACTGTATAAAAGCGGTGGTGTGACGTCATGATTGACAGGCGAAGTACTAACAGACTTTGAGGAGATTGTATTTATGGATTGTATTTGTGGATCCGAATGTGTTGAAATGAATGTGTAAAAACTTTTCAGTGTTCCTCATGATGGAAACAGTTGTATGAACCCAGAGCTTTTCTGAAGGTGTTTTGCAGTATCAAGCCTGTGAGATCAGTGTTTCCTGTGATCCTCCTGTTTACTCGCGTTCTCAAGCGCAGGCCATGTGATAGAAAACATTAACCAATGAACTGACATTTAAAAGGGCGATGGGGCATTAAATTGGATGTCCTGCGTCAGCATAGATTTGAAAAGGCCCGTCAGAGACGAAATGGTCCTGTGTTAATTTGATGATGACTGACTCTCTGTATTTAATTTTGTTGAATGCATCGACCCGCCGGTCCAGAGTCATCCCGACACGCTAAACACGCTGACTATAATAGTTTTATACGATTAAAGATCACTCATTTATCTTGATTATAAGTCATGAAATTAAAGGGCGGCTTTTAGTGTCGAAATAAGACAATTGAAATCTTAATTATTAACGTTTACAGATTCCTCTAAACAAGGCAATTAAACGAGAAGTGCTAGTAATACAAAATCATATTAAGTTCTAATTTTTCAAGTAAAAAATGTTCTGTATAAACTCATTTTAAACATCCCTTTATGCCAAAACGTCTAAATAATGAATGTTTAACAGATTTGATTTTTTTTTTCTGGTGATAAAGTAGTGGTTTAATTCATATTTAATGAAAATTTAAAATGAAAGAATGATCTAAAACTAAATCCATAAAATGGTCCCATGTTGGGAATCTCTGTATACGAGTCACCTGACGGAACCGTTGAAGGTTCCAAATGGAATGTTTAATTCTACAACTTTCCCTCCGGATCGGATTTCTCACCTATAAATGAAATAACGGCACACTTTGACATGCCTGGATTGAATCAGCACAGCTCTCTGATGGAGAAGTGAAAGGGCAGATTCACACATTACTAAGGAGAAGTCACTCAGGAATCAGAAATCTCGGAGGAGAATGTGTCTTTATTGCCCAAAAAAAGTGCAATGCAATAAACACTTTCTAGTTAGAAGAAAAATTAAAGCATTTTACATTTTAAAATGTAAAATGATTTTATTGCATGATTTTTATAGTAACTATGTTAAATATTAGCATCAAAACATGCAACATATTAATACTTGCATGCATTCTTTAATTTAATGTATATCAGTAAATGTATATTGCATATTAGTGTATAACGTTTTTATGCACATACTAATATTGATTTATTTACATTTTTGTTTGTTTGTTTGTTTGTTTGTTTATAGGCATACTACTAATATCTACCTACATGACTTTATTGCCCCCAAAAAATGCAATAAACACTTTCTAGTTAGAAGAGAAACTTTACATTTTACATTTTGCAATAGTAATGCATTTTAGAAATGAATGATTTGAATGCATGGTAACTTAAGGATTTAATATACCATATTTTTCTAAAATATAAGTCACGTTTTTATCATCTAAACTGTGCGACATGCTCATATTTATTATTTATTTATTTAAACGTATCAATGAACATACTAAGATGAATATACATTATTTATACTTATTTATTTCTTTATAGATGTACTAATACTTTCTAAAATATAAGTCATGTTTTTATCATCTAAACTGTGCGACATGCTAATATTTATTATTTATTTATTTAAATGTATCTATAAACATACTAAGATGAATATACATTATTTATACTTATTTATGTCTTTATAGACGTACTAATACTTAATATACATTATTTATTTATTGATTTATTGATTGCCTAAAAAGGTTGCTTGAACAAGCACAATGCAATAAATGCTTTTAATGGAGAAATTAATGCATAATATATCATAATTGAAATTTTCTGGGAATAAAATAAATATGTATAGGTTTGGTGTTTATATAAAAAGCAGTTTAGAGTGATTGCCACTGTCAGTATGAGCACTAGAACAGTAATGTGCCTCGTAAGCAGGCGTTCGCATGTCCGTTCCCTGAGAATGATGAAGTCACCGATACTCCAGACTCGATTCGCTCTTGATGTTGTTAATTGTCTGATGAATGCTGATGCCCGAGTGCTAGATGTCTGAGGAGCGCAGGGGCATCGCTACAAATTGAGTTGAGAGAACCCTGTTACCATAACCCTGTTATTAAGTTTACAGGCAATAAGTTAATTTGGAAGAGCTCAGATGGCAGTAATGGAGACGCTTTGACGAGCACGCGAGGCTCAAATGGGATTCGATGGCAGGGACCGGTTGATACAGACGTGGAGCTTTGAGAGCGCCGGGATTATGGCACATAAAGACCCGCAGATTAGCGAGACGAAGACCTTTTACAGCAGCGGCGGCGAGGTCCATTTAGCAGCCAGCGCTGACTTCATCACTTCCCTCGCTGACGTGTGTGTGTGTGTGTTGCACAGACATCGATCTCCAACTGTGATCTTCTGGAGTGTTTTCAAGCTCTTTGAACTCTTTTGAAGTCGCGTTTGAACAAAGAGGTTTTGAAAGTGGAAAAGTTTCTGCTTCTCACTTATAGTCTGCGATCGATGCGTGGATTATCTATTATTGTATTACCAAATATAAAGTAGTTTGGCATGTTCTTCAATACAGTATAATTTAAAGTTAAAGAAGTGAAGCAGTTTTGTTTTAAAATACTATTATAATTTAGACAGTGTTGAAGCCATTTGCATTTATTCATTTAGTGTGTGACAAAAACACACAACAGGAAATGATGTCATAGCACGGACCTCAGTATACTCAAACAAAAATCCATGATAATTGTACAAAATAATATACAATTTACTTCAGAGAATTACTTTGTGAAGTTTTTGTTAATGTTTTAAAATATTTTTTATATGTTTTCATTTTATTATTTATCATTTAGTTACATTATGTAATATTTTATTACTTTTTAGTTGGACACATTGAACTGATTAATATTTACGTTGATTGAAATTAATTTCAAATAAAATAAAATATTTCTTTAAAATATTTAGAATTGTATATATATATATATATATACACACTGTTAGACCGTACCAGGTTTTTTACAGTAAAATATTTTTACAGTAATTTACTGTAAAAATGCACTAAAACTCAAGTTAACTAAAAAATACAACTTATTAATTTTAGTGCATTTTTACAGTAAATTACTGGCAACAGTGTTGCCAGTATTTTACTGTAAAAAACCTGGTAAGGTCTAATAGTGTATATAACAAAAAGTTTCATAAATAAATACAAAGTTTTATAAATAAATAAAAAGTTTAATAAATATATAAAAAGTTTAATAAATAAATAAAAAGTTTAATAAATATATAAAAAGTTTAATAAATATATAAAAAGTTTATTAAATAAATAAAAATTTTAATAAATAAATAAAAAGTTTAATATAAATATATAAAGTAATAAAATATAATAAAAATATTAGTTGAAAAACTTATACTAAACAAAAATTTGAAATGTGGCCTTGCCAAGTTGTATCACTAAAATTGTTGACAATATATATATATATATATATATATATATATATATATATATATATTAAGAATAAAACAACAAAAGCATATAATGAAATTACCAAAAAAAATGTATACAAAAATGAACATGAACACTAAAAATATAAATATGAAAATAAAATCTAAATCAAACTATGAATAACAATGAGCTGATTGAATGCATAATTAATGAGTGATATTAATGCTGGTGTTCCCGCAGTGTGTGTCCGCCACTTTAAGTGCTGTGACGTCAACACGTCGGAGGGTCTGGGCCGGGCCTGGTGGCGTCTGAGGAAGACGTGTTACCAGATCGTGGAGCACAGCTGGTTCGAGACCTTCATCATCTTCATGATCCTCCTCAGCAGTGGAGCGCTGGTGAGCTTCACGTCACACTCACAAATCATCACTCACACACACTCATGTCGTTCCAAACCTGTTAGACTTGTGTTCATCTTCCAAACACTGTCAAGTGTTATACGCTGCACTTTTATCACCAGACTTGTATTTTCAGTATAAGGGAATTTACCATAATAAATGTCTTAACAAATGAATTTATTACACATTTTTAGCGTAATAATTTTAGCAGATTGACTAAATGAGTTATTTCTTAATAATAGACATGAATGAAGATATTTTTTATGTAATGTAAGCGATTTGTGTCAGTCCGGTGAGGCTCTGCGACAAAATCAAAAAGCTTCATTTCTTTTCGACTGAAGAAAGAAAAACATTAAAATCTCGGATGGCGTCAAAGTACATTAAGACAAAATGTTGTTTAAATATGCAAATGATGTATTATCAAATTAAACATGCATTAATTTGCATACATTTCCAGAACAGCTTCAATCTGAGCTTTGGATGCAAAGAGGTTCAAAACCATTGTTTAATTTTGATAATTGTTTAATATTCTAGGTAAAGAGGTTTTGTATCCTCTGTTTACCATAAATCAGAAAGTGCATATTATAAAAACATGTTTTTAGGAATATAAACCTGGCAATATGAACGAACCTTCAGATGATATGGATAAAACTGTAAAGTCACATGTTCTGAAAGCTTAGTTTAGGACTAAACTAACATTGGTGTTCATTTGTCGCCTGACTTTTTGTGTTTATCGAGTGAAAAGGACGACAGTGAGACTGAAATGCAGCGCGTTCTTGCTTTATTAAGCAGTTATTGTATATATACTATATAATATAATACTTTCATTATTGCATTAATGCTTCATTGAGGAAATATTATCTATTTGGCTCATTAGATAATGTGCATTAAAATAGTTTCATATAAGACAATTATATATGGATGATTATATTATTTTTTATAAAAAGAAATTAATTAATTAAATTGATCAAAAGTGATCAGTATATTTATATTTCATCCAGAAAATCCTGAAAAATAAAATCTATCAAGGTTTCCTTTGTTCAACATTGAAAATAATCATGAAAGGATCATGTGACACTGAAGATGCTAAAAATTGCAGGAATAAATTACATTTTAAAACATATTCACAATGAAAACACTGATTTGAAATTGTAATAATATCTCACAATATCTCTGTATTTTTTAGCTAAATAAATGTAGACTTTAAAAAAAAACAAAAAAAAACTCACCAACCCCAAACTTTTGAACAGTACTAGTGTATATGTGTTCGGTTCATGTCCATTAGCTACTATAATGTTTAATGCATCAATGAAGGAATGTTATTATACTTGTAATCTTTACTGTAATATGATATAATTCGATTTATTATAACATGCACTGATGAGGCATGACAATACGAAGCAAATGTGTTCGGTGTTGACTTTAAGCATTACCAGTTCTGACTTTGTGGGATTATGCACAACACAGCAAACAGCATATTCCCACCGCTGCATAATGTTATATAACACTGGTGATTTCCTTAAAGAGCCTGTGTGTGTGACTCCCAGAGAGGGCCGAATGCCAGTGTTGGGTGCCAGGTGTGTGTCGAGCCGCTGGTATTTTAGTGGCATTTACCAGCAGCTTCAGCGGGCAGCTGTTCTTTAGACGTGCGCTTGAAGGATTACACAGGGAAACAGAAAGTAAGCAGAAAAGGAGAAACTGCAGAGTCGGCATAAACCAGTGGAGAGTCTGCTGGACGCAGATGTTTGCCTGGACGTCGCATGTGCAGTACAAGCGCTCAGACAAACACACGGCACACTTAATACAGAGGCAAATACATCATGCAACAATAAAAATGTCTCATTTGCTCATAATGTTGGTCCAGACCTGGAATTGGATACTGTTAACCAAAGCTAAAATCATAAAAACTATGAAAAATAAATATTTTTGTTACTTGAAATAAAAATATCGTTAACTGAACAATATATATTAGGGCTGTGCAAAAGTTAATTGCGATTAATCACATCCAAAATAAAAGTCTGTGTTTACATAATATATTTGTGTGTGCTGTATATAATTATTTTGTATATATTATAAATACCTATGCATGCATGTATATATTTAAGAATTATTTGCACTTAAATTACATAATCTATATTATATAAATATTTTATATATGAATAACACATTTTCTTAAATATATACATGCATGTGTGTGTATTTATATATACAAAATAATTATATACAGCACACACAAATATATTATGTAAACACAGACTTTTATTTTGGATGCGATTAATCGCAATTATTTTTTACACAGCCCTAATATATATTATTATTATTTTATAATATAAATATATATATATATATATTTATTTATATAATATAAATATAATATAATATATGTATAATAATATAAATATTTTAATATATTTATTATAATTATTTAAAATTAATTAAAACTAAGACATACTTAAAAAAAGTCTAAAACGTTAGTAATAAAAAAAACCCATTCAAAATGCAATAAAATTTGTATTATCTCAATCATACTAAATTAACACTCGTCAAAACCAGGATTATTATCATCAACTAAAACTATTACCATTAAAAGGACATTTTCGTTACTTGAAATAAAAATAAACTTAAATTTATTTTTTCACATAGAAACATTTCTCATTTTTATATAGTTGACTAAAATAGCTAAAACTGAAAAAAATAAATAAATAAATAAATAAATAAATTAAAAATAATATATAAATAAATATATAATTAAATATATAATTAAAAATAAAAAAATATATATATAATTATTAAATATAAATAAAAAAAATAAAAACTAATGACTTTTTTTTTTAAATGGCAAAAACAGAACTGAATGATAACAGAAAACATAAAAGTCAAAACCTTAATATTAAAATGATGCTAAATGAAAACGGTTAACAAACTCGAATGACTGTCTTTCTTTCTAACATGCTCATCAGATATAAACACCACTGCTTTTCTGTCACAAGCTCGTCTCCGTCTTCGTAATACTGACAGAATGAACAGATGAAGGTCTGGAGAAGTCATCCTCACCCTGTGTGTGTGTGTGTGTGTGTGTGTGTGTGTGTGTGCTTTCCTAACACTCTGCTTCTTCTGTTGAAAGGCATTTGAAGACATCTACATTGAACAGAGGAAAGTGGTCAAAGTGGTGCTTGAGTACGCAGACAAGATCTTCACCTACATCTTCATCTTAGAGATGAGTCTGAAGTGGATCGCCTACGGTTTCAAGAAATACTTCACCAACTACTGGTGCTGGCTGGACTTCCTCATCGTGGACGTAAGTGCTTTTCCCAGTGTCTAACAGCAGCCGTAGTGCTTTACTATCAAACATTTAAGATCTCAGGAAGATTCAATGGGGAGAATAACTTTTATGTTACATAATAGTCAAATACATGCGTGAGTGTTATCAAAAGATCGTTTATAATAATTGTCTTATTGTTTTGCTGTTGTTCAGTGATACGGTGCTGTTTGTTTTGGTCCTGTATTTCAGTTCATCACAATCTCATTAGTGTCATTAGTAGACATATTTGACTTGGCTGATTCGATGTCAATTTATGCACAACTTTTAAAACAAAGTGTTCAGGTTCAAATATTGAATGCATATAGGTTAATTTTAATATTGAGTGCTTTTAAAGTGTTGCACATTAAAGTAATACAAAAAATCGATAATTTGTTGTTCCCTTTGAAAGAGTTAGTCCAAAAAAATATTTTAATGTTTATTGAATCATTGTCAAAATGTAAAAAATATGGGGGTTAATTCAGGATAATTGCATTATCATTATTCCAGTTTTCTAAGTTGCATTTCTATATTTGTGGTAGAGAATTCCTTGTCTATTCAATTACTGTGACCAAAGAGCCAAAACAAGCACAGCTGCGTCACTGTTCAGATACTGCACTGTAATTCACTGTTTCATAGTGAACAATCTTTATACTGTGCTTTTATAAATATGGATTTGAGTTTTATATATGTGGTTTAAGGGCTGTGAATTTGAAACTAAAGGTAAAGAGTGTAATTATTTTTGATGTTAAAATAATTTCTCATATCTGTTTGGTGATGTAAGAGTTGGAGAAATAACACACTTCACCTTACTTGAAATGTATAAAATGTGCTTAAAATGTATATTTTTAGAACAGAAAGAATTTAAAAAATTGAATTGCAAGTTTTCGTAATTATGCATTATATACTGTAAGTAAATATGCATACAATTCCAGAACAAATATCTGAACATTGGATAAAATTTCATTTGATTTGGTTGACATATTAGAGTTAATGTTTTTTACTGAGGGGATTTTTCGATTTCTCTTTTTATCACTCCATAAATCAGAAAAAAAAACGTAATTTTCCAAAAAAAAAAAAAAAAAAAAAAAACGTTTTTAAAAAAAGTACTTAATTTTCACCATACTTTCAGGAATAAAAAATTAGGCAAATGATATATAAACAAACCCCTCAGTAAAAACCTTCAGAATATAGAGAGGAATAAAACTGTAAATTTTGGTGAATATAAGTGCTTCTGAAGTGGAGGAAAAACTCATTTTGGGAAACGGCCTTTAAATATATGAACTGAAATTGAAATCTACAGACACAAATAGATAAATAACAATAAAATAAACACTTAAAAGTACATTTTGGATGTCTTTCCACTAATCTGAAACAACACATTGTGAAAAGTCAAATAGCCCCAAATCTCACAATTGACTTGTTTTAAAAAATAATTTAATTTATATTATATATGTATATATGTTTTAGACACAAGTCATTTTAATGCCGTTTAAATGTGTCCTATTAGAATAATATGAAAAAAATAAAATAAAAAATAGGTAAAGTACATTCAAAGCCACTAAATGCACATTAAAATGCATTTACTTTGACATTGAAATATTTTTTTTTTACATTTAATTTGTAGTGAACATAATGTTTTAGGTTTTAATATTTGGAATATATTAAATAAAGTGCATTCAAAACTGGCAAATGCACATGAAATGCATTTACACTGGCATTGAAATTTCCATTTGATTAATATGAATAATAGGAAATTCATGCGAAACTCTAAACAAACTATAATTCATGAAATGCATTTACTTTGACATTTTAATTTGTAGTGAATATCATATTTTAGGTTCAAAATATTTGATGTATTGTAAATTAATAGTGAAAGGTTCTTAGAAGATTTTATCATATTTGAATATGAAATGTATACAATTTTAATGTTTTGAAAATCACAAGTGCATTCAAAACTGCTAAATGCACATTTAATGCATTTACATTGAAATTCCCATTGGATTAATATGAATAATATGAAATTCATGAGAAACTCTAAACATTGACTCATTTACTTTGACATTGAAATATTTTTTACATTTAATTTGTAGTGAATATCATATTTTAGGTTCAAAATATTTGATGTATTGTCAATTAATAGTGAAAGGTTCTTATCATATTTGAATATGAAATATATACAATTTTAATGTTTTGAAAATCACAAGTGCATTCAAAACTGCTTAATGCACATTTAATGCATTTACATTGAAATTCCCATTGGATTAATATGAATAATATGAAATTCATGAGAAACTCTAACTAAACGAATTCAATTCATACAGGTTTCAGTGATTGGTCTGGTGGCAAGTGCGTTCAATTATGACCAAATGGGAACCATGCGTGTTCTCCGGACTCTCCGGGCGCTCCGGCCTCTCCGCGCCGTCTCTCGCTTTGCTGGGATGAGGGTAAGACCCGCTCCGAACGGGCCCGAGTCTGAGTGTGCTCACTAGACGGCTCAAAGATGCCCACTAAACTGCCCTTCAGTCCTTAACAGGTCAAAGAGTCGGGAGAACACAATGACGACATTTATCACTGGCAGATCCGGCTTTGATCGCTGGAACTGGGTTTCCAAGAAAACGAATCCCGATTAATCCTGATTTTTCCTCGCAGCACAGAGCAGAAGCGTGTGTTTTCCTTCCTCAGGACTGTCGCAGGTGTGTTTTATTAACGCTGCATTTGTATCTTCTCTTTGTCCTCGGCTCTGTGTCACTCATAGGTGTCTCTAGTAAGCCTCGTAGCAAACACACTCGGATACTCCGACTTTGCTGCCATCAAATCTCTGCGAACGCTCAGAGCGCTCAGGCCGCTGCGAGCGCTGTCCCGGTTTGAAGGCATGAGGGTAAGATATACTCGTCTCTCTGTCACATCTGTGAATGCTCCATTTCCAGAGGCCTTTTCTCTCTTTTTGTGCTCGGAGACAGGCAGTTTCACAAAATAAATAAATAAATAAAAATAGGGAATTTGCTGAGGACAGAAAAACAAATATTGAAACGACATTTTCAGAAGTTTCACAAGTCTTTTCTTAAACCAGCCTGAGGGGGTTTTAAGGTCAAACACTCTTAAAAATAAAGTTGATTTTACCATTTTTGGTTCCCCAAAGAAGCTTTCACCGATCATTTCTTAAAAGAACCATTTTTTCTTAGTGCCACGAACATTTTATTTCAGTTTTTCTCGATTGCCTAAACACATTTCTTGACAAATCCATTACGTCTCTCCCAGTTCCCCAAACATTTCAGGTCAAAATGAAGCTCTACACTCAACCTTGCCCTCAGACATCACCCACAAGCCCTCACAACACACACACACAGACTACAACATAGTCTCACACACTGGTGCAATAAATCCATAATATTTCCAAAACTGGTAAGTTAAGTTGCTTGTGTTTCCCCAGTTTCATGAACACAAAAGACAACCAATGGATACATTTGCACATGTTTTATTACTTAATGTACTGTAATCAAACCAGACCAACTAAACACTTTATGCTGGTTTAAGCAGGGTTACTATGTTAATCTGCTAATTAATTACATTCGATTGTTTTAATAGCTGGTGAAATGATCTTTCACTCAAAAAAAAAAAAAATTCAACCAAAAATCTCATAGTAATGGTAAAAACTGTTTATACATCATGGTACACTCTCAGAAAAAAAGGTACAAAAGCTGTCACTGGGGCTGTACCTTTTCAAAAGGTACACTTTTATACCCAAAGGCCTTAACACCTAAAATGTACATATTAGCACCTAAAATATACATATTAGGACCTAAAATAGACATATTAGCTCCTGAAATGTACATATTAACACTATAAAATGTACATATTAGCACCTAAAATGTACATACTAACACCTAAAATGTACATATTAGCACCTAAAATAGACATATTAGCTCCTGAAATGTACATATTAACACTAAAAATGTACTTATTAGCACCTAAAATGTCCATATTAGTACCTAAAATGTACATATTAGCACCTGAAATGTGCATATTAGCACCTAAAATGGACAAAAGTTTACCTTTTGAAAAGGTACAGCCCCAGTAACCGCTTTTGTACCTTTTTTCTGAGAGTGTAATGTTTGTTGTAATTTATGCTGATATTAATAAAAATGCTGATATTAGTAAATTTAAATTAATGAGAATTTAATGAGAATCACCATTAAGAATAACAAAAAAGTTTCATTGTTATAAATAATGAGACAATGCACAACATTTTTTTTAAATTAATTTAATTTATACAAAGTGTAAATGTTTTTTTTGAGTGAAATGTGACGTGCTTTCATGATATTTACCCCATCAGCCCAACATGATCATCTTTTTGTTTGTGTTTATTAACTTCCATCCACCAATCCCCCAGTAGTTCCATTAACCCACATCTGAACGTCCTCCTGATGTGAAGTGTTTCTTACAGCATTAGTGGTTGCTTTAAAAGCTGCTTCCATCTCGGGGATATTCTCACTGCACTTTTGTTTAATCAAATTTGATCCGTTTCATCTTCATGCAGACTGACTCTGAAGGGAGACGTCTCGGTTTCTGCTGGAGAAATGGGAAAGACTTTCCAGTATTGGGAGATAAACGGGGATTATTTTGTCATAAAGTCCTTATAAAATTACATAATTAATGCAGTGACATTTTGAGTGGATTTTAATCAAATAAAGAATAACTGCATATAAATGTAAAATAATTAAAATATTACATAATACAGTGACCTTTTGAGCAGATTCTAATTATTTAAGAATAAAATATATAACTATAACTTATTATTATTAAATGATCGTTTTATACGTCTACTGTCTCTAAAAATTGTGTTAGCATTTAAAAAAACTGGAATAAACAATCTGAACTATCTGCATTTTCTTGTTTTCAGTGTTACTTTTACAGTGTTATATTCTTTTCCTTCTCTTGTATTAATTTGTTTGATTTCCTACCAGTATTACAGGGTGTTACTGTGACGTGTGTGTACAGTAGTGTGTGTGCTGTGGTAGATTATTAAACAGACTGAATGAGGAGAAACAGCCCGATGATGAAGCTAGTTTCTGTCCGCTGGGAAACACCATCAGTATTCTGGATAATTGAATGTCAAAAATGTGCTTTTAGCATGTGGGAAGCCAGTGCCGCCTCGCCGCCCGCTTGTTCTCTTCATCACTCACCCACTCAGTGTTATCTTCATCTTCATCCAGACAACACCATGTGCATAAGCCGACACGCTGTGCTGGAATTTTATCATACAGCACATTTCATCCACAGTCATATTTCAGCCAATTAAACATTTAAGAACATAAACATGCAGAAAAATAAAAGTTTGATTTAAAATGGATTAAAGAAACATGGAAGCTTGTTTTCACCATGGCATTTAGAAAAGGTCATTGGTATACAACACAAAATGTATAAAAATGTACAAACTTAGAATATTGAAAAAAAGGAAGAATAGTGAGATGTAAACTTAGAATATTGAAAATTTTTTTAGAATAGTGACATTTAAATTTAGAATATTGAAAAAAGGAAGAATAGTGAGATGTAAACTTAGAATATAAAAAACCCGTCAGAATAGTGAGATGTAAACTTAGAATATTAGTCACAATTCTTAGAAAAAAGTCATAATAGTGAGAAAAAAAATCTGAATTGCAAGAATTCTGAGGGGAAAACGTCAGAATAGTGAGATTTAAACTTAGAATATAAAAAACCCCATCAGAATAGTGAGATGTAAACTTAGAATATTGAAAAAAAGAAAGAATTGCGATATTTAAACTTCGAAATTTTAAACAAATTCAGACTTGGGAGATATAAACGTAGAATTCTGAAAAAAAAAATTCAGAAAAGTGAGATGTAAACTTAGAATATTAGTCATAATTCTTAGAAAAAAGTCATAATAGTGAGAAAAATCAGAATTGCAAGATATAAAAGAATTCTGAGAGAAAAAGTCATAAAAGTGAGATATAAATTTAGAATTAAGAGAGAGAGAAAAAAACAGAATTCTGAGGAAAAAAAGTCAGAATTGCAAGATTTAAACCCCTGAGAAAAGAAGTCAGAATAGTGAGATGTAGGCTAAACTTTGTCAGAACTGTGAGATGTAAACTCGAGTTTATAACTTGCAAGTGTGAGATCAAAAGTGGCAATTATCTTTTCAAAATGTTGTCCCGTGGCGGAAACAAGCTTCCATAAAGAAATAACAAGAAATCAATCAAAAAGAAATATGCTTATGTTCTGGTACAGTGTGATTTGCTGTTAGTCTGCAGTTCTGTCCAGCGCCAGCAACAGCAAATTGAATGGCATTGGTTTAGATTTGCACGCTCAGTGAAAGTGCGTCTGAGAGGCGAGGAATTCCCCGTCCGCTGGCCATAAATCTGGAAAATCATATTAAACTTCACACGCTTTAGAGCGACAGCAGAGAGACGTGCTCACACACACATACACACACACACACACACACAGCTAAACCCGCTGAATGAGTCTCAGCACTTTTACATCCAGCTAATATTTCCTGCATGTTGACGATGATGTGGTGTTTGTGATTATTCCTAGGCTTATTTCATACAGTGTTCAGAAAAATGTGTGCATGTGCAGCATGATATTTAATATTTATCTGCAAATCTCACGAAACCTGTCGAGGATGTTTCATTTCAGCCTGAAATAAATGAAGCCTATTTGTTTTCCATTTATGTTGCATTTAAATCAAAATATTTAGGCCTAAATCTAATGCTTATGTATTTGAATTGGATAAAAATTTTCATCAATTTATGCTGATTCTAGGAAATTGAAATAAACAATATGTTTATGTGCAATGAACCAAATGCATTGAAATTTTATATGCAATTACAAAGACTTGTTTTGCATTACAGTAATGAGCATTTTCACAATGAGGCTTTTTGTCATAAAAATAACGTTTTATTGATTATTTTTTGTTAAAATTACTTAAATTAAAGTTAAAAGCAATGATTTAAATAATATTCTAAAAATGTCAAATCTAATATGCATTTTCATTATTAAACTAAAAAAGTGTCCAAAAAACTGATTTTCATGCAAATTATGAAGAGAAATGTGATGTAGACTTGACAGCTTTGGTGAGATTCACTGTTAAATGGGCAAAAATATTATTTGATGCATTGTAAATTAACAGTCAAAGATTCTTAGAAGATTTTTAAATATGAAATTTACATGATTTTAATGTTTAGAATATATTAAATCAACTGCTAAATGCCCATAAAATGCATTCACAATGGCATTGAAATACTTTTTTTAATTGAAATTGTAGTGAACTCATATCCCCTGATGCATTTACTCCTGTAGAGTTCAGCTTTTAATAATGTTCATGTTTTATGAATGGCTGTAAATGACATTTAAATCGCCTCACGTCACGAGTTTGAGATCGCCGACACGAAAGCATAAATGCCAATCGCCAAAGGCCATTCATAAATCAGGAGCAGAGCTGGACTGACAGCGCCTGGTGTGTGTCGGTGCTGCTCTGAAGTGTGTGTTGTGTTCTCCAGGTGGTGGTGAACGCTCTGATCGGGGCGATCCCGTCCATCATGAACGTCCTCCTGGTGTGTCTGATCTTCTGGCTCATCTTCAGCATCATGGGGGTCAACCTGTTCGCCGGGAAGTTCGGGCGCTGCGTCAACAGAACCGGCTTCATCTACAACGCTTCCGACATCAACAACAAGTCCGAGTGCCTGGAGATGAACAACACACAGTTCTACTGGACCAAAGTCAAAGTCAACTTCGACAACGTGGGCGCAGGGTACCTCGCTCTCCTGCAAGTGGTGAGCTTCACACTCGTCAACATACAGGCGACGTCGGACAGCTTTAGGAAATCATTGCAATTATTATTTGTAACTTTAAAGATGGACAAGTACGGGTGACGTGAAAAATCTATTAAAATATTTAGTTTTATTTAGGAGCAATAAAAAAAGTTGAGTTGTCAACACTATCTCACGCCCAATTCGTACGAATTCGACGAATGATTTAAAAGTGTCTAATTCGTACTAATTTGTACGGTTTGTCTAAACCCACGTGATGGTTAGGTTTAGGGGCGGGGTAAGGGGTAGGTCATTCGTACGAATTCATACGAATTGGCCAATTCGTAAAATATGTACGATTTATCAAAATCGAGTGAGGTTGTATGAATTGTTACGAATTAGCCACTTTTTAATCATTCGTCGAATTCGTACGACTTGGTCGTGAGATCGGGTTGGAGTTGCTCATTACTGTAATGCAAAATAAGTAAATATGAATATAACAAGATTTACATATTTTAATTGCATATAAAATTTCCATGCATTTGAAATACACAGTTTTAACATAAACTAATAAACATAATTTGTGTTTTGGGGGTGGCACGGAAAAGTTGACTTTTTATAGTTTATGATAAACTTTCCCTCTATGATGGTTAAATGATGCAGTTTTTTTTACTGTAAATTTCTGCGATCCGTCGTTGGGTTTCTTCCGTTCACTTCCCAGCTCTGTGTGTCCGAGAGCGCGGATCAATGGAGATTATATTTAGGCTTTATCCCGAACTTTGTCTCAGCGAGAGCTTGTGCACTTCATTCTTCAGTTGAACTTAGTTGATGCAGTCGCCTAGCAACAGGTCACCTGACCCCTGCCGTCCCCTGCACTGGACTGCGCCCAGACCTGTCACTAATGACCAGTAACAACAGAACAGAGCGACCGGAGGATTCACATGTGTGCCTAATTAATTAAGCGTCTCTCTCCTGCTTTTATTAGGAATCTCATTCTTGATCAGTACAAACGATCTAGAGATAACAAGAGCAGAAGTACAAGGAAGTATTAGGAATCTTTTGAACTCTCGAACTGGATGTGCATGTGATACATTGGACAAGTATCGCCGACATAAACAATACATACAAAATATTTATAGTTAAAATTGAAAAATTAAATATATTGTGATATAATTTAGTTTGATTCGTATTTTAATGCATATAAAACATACAGTTTTCATGTGTTTCTTAATAATTAGAATATAAATTCGATTATACTTAAAAATATGTTATGCAAGTATGAGGGACATGAAAAATGTATAAAACATATTAAGTAACTGAAAATAAAATAAATACATTTTTGATATCATATTATTTCAATGGATATAAAATAAACAATTTTCATGGCAGCTTACTAATTGAAACATATATTAGATTGTACTTTTTTATTATTTAAATTAATTAAATTATTAATTACATTTTGCAAAGCATGTTGTTTAATATTTATCTGCCAATCTCACGAAACCTGTCGAGGATGTTTCATTTCAGCCCAAAATATATTTTAGAAAATTACATAAAGAATTAATTATAATAACATAATTATTTTTAACTTTAAGTTGGAAAAGTATTGGTGACATGAACATTTTTATTTTCACCCATGCACTGAAAAAAATAATATGCTTTACCTAATCAATAAAATTGTGGCAACATATTACAAGCAATATTATTAATTAAATTGTACAAATTAGAATTAATTAGAATATTAATTTGATTAACTATTACTCAATTCTACTTTGTTCAATTTAATAAATAATATTGCTTGTAATCTGTTGCCACAATTTTATTGATTAGATAAAGCATATTCATTTTTACATTTTTTTTATTTTTATTCAACCCAGTTTTTCAGCTTAATAATTATATATATATATAAAAAAAAATTAATAAAACTATTGGTGACATGAAAAAAGTATACACATATTTATATAAAAAAGTCACCCACACCTTTTCAAGTTAATGTTAAAAATAATCATTTAAATTAGTATTAAAAATAAAGCATTTATGTGAATATATCTTAATTGAAGTCGGCATGAAACAGAAGTTGCGCTCGTATTTTATTCTCTATTGTTTCGTATATATCCGAGTGAATCAGATGTGGGCGGGGCTTGATTGTGTCTGTGAGGCATTGATTGGACGGTTGTGGTTTGCTATTGGTGGATCTCCTGTGAGTGACAGGTCATAGCCCCGCCCACGATTAGCAGAAACATGTTTTAACGACCTCTCCTCTTCTTCTCAAGGCCACCTTCAAGGGCTGGATGGAGATCATGTACGCCGCAGTCGACTCGCGATCCGTAAGCACTTCATAAATCCCACATCAAAACGCATATGAAAGTTATGTTTGCGTATGTGAGTGTGTATAATGTGATGAAACAGGTGGAGGAGCAGCCCATTAAAGAGAAGAGCCTGTACATGTACCTGTACTTCGTCATCTTCATCATCTTCGGCTCCTTCTTCACACTCAATCTCTTCATCGGTGTCATCATAGACAATTTCAACCAACAGAAGCGAAAGATGAGTATTAAAGTCATAAGGGTGTGCGTTTGATTATGAGTGTGATGTCGACGGGGATGATAACAGCGGTGTGTGTGTGTGTACTTAGGTGGACAGGACATCTTCATGACAGAAGAACAGAAGAAATATTATAATGCCATGAAGAAACTGGGATCCAAGAAACCGCAGAAACCGATCCCACGACCTCCTGTGAGTAACTTACAGACGAGCTCATCATAATCATCATAACCATAATCATAATCTGCTGGCGGGACCAGAAATATATCAGTTTTAGACCTGAGATTATGACTTTACATTATGTTATATTATATGTGGTATAAAGACCATAACAAAAATATACATTGTCCATGACACTCACGCTTTTTCAAAATATTTTAATGATTTAATCATTTTATTATATATATATATATATCTGTGTGTGTGTGTGTGTGTTGATCTCCTCAGAACCCAGTGCAGGGATTCTTCTTCGACCTGGTGTCCAAACAGGCCTTCGACATCATCATCATGTTGCTCATCATCCTCAACATGGTGACGATGATGGTGGAGACGGACGAGCAGTCTCCCAGCGTCGAGTACATCCTCTACTACATCAACCTGGCCTTCATCGTGGTCTTCACCGCCGAGTGCA